CACTTAATTCAGTTTTAAATTATATTTTCGAAATGTAATCATAATTAAAGGTCCATTGTTCATTTCAAGATTAAAAGCTTCTCCACTTCTTGATACCAATGTCTACTTAATCATTCTAATTAAGAAGGTTAGACCTTTATAATATACATTAAACAAATTGAAATGTGGACACATCCTCTAATTTTGTTGAACTACAAGGAACTAACAATGAACCATGTTATTAAAACACAAAGAATCCCAAGATGTGTTTTCTTTCTATGGTTTCTCATGTAATTTGGGCTGGTTTTCTCTCAAAAACCCACGTTGCCATTGAACTTTGGGATTGTAGCCTTTGCAGACCAATTACATGCACATAGCCTACATAACACACTACAGGAAGGGGAAAACTCAAGAAAGGGTCCCCAGAGACCAAATTACAAAAGATGAGTCATGTTATGCCACCTTTAAATCTATCAATGCGCCAACCATCGTCGAGACCTAACAGATATATACAGACCAATCTGGATATCATCCATATTATATAATGAGAAAACAGCTTGAGAGATCGCATGATGTAGTGTTGTTAGATGTGCCAAGAGCAAGGACTGTCTTAGGTAAGACAGCTTTTATGTGCGCAGCTCCACTTGCTTGGAACAATCTTCAGCAAGAATTGAAACTGAGCAATCTCATTCCTCTGCATGTTTTTAAAGCTAGGCTAAATGAAATGCTCGTTGATACTTGTAAATGTCTATAACTATGTAAATGTATCCTGTAAATATAATGTATGATGTCCTTTATTGTTTTATGTTTCATGTGGAACCTATATGCTGCAGGTCTCCCTTGAAAAAGAGATCTATGATCTCAATGGGACCATCTGGTTAAATAAAGGTTTGAAATGAAATGAAATGAGAGGCTTGTGATTGGTTTATCAGTCAAAGATGAAAAATGCAATTTAATTGCATTATGGGTTCTCAACCCAGTCTACTTGGATAACGCCCCTCAAACATTAGTAAAGTGACACGCTGCCATTTATTGTCAACGTTACCTCCAGATAACACCATGGTGCCTGCCTCCTCATGAGTCCTGACTCTGGAGAGAGAGGTTCAACTTTATGCAAATGTCCTTTCATGTAACAGGAGCGACAAGTCTGAGACAGCAATCCCGCTCTCTCTTACCTCATTCACACCAACGCAACTCCGGTTCAAGCTCCGTGCTAGAGCTTTTCAGGTTCAGAACCGGTTCTTCGGTTTAGCTCCGGCTCTTTTCCCAGAGTCCGACTGGTGCTGCGTCATTGCGTCATTGTTTGCGTCATGACGTAACCGTTTGCGTGCCTGCTTCATAAAGCCAAACCGCGCGGAAACCCCTCACAGCTCACACCGACAACAACAACAATGGCCGATTGTGTTGAAGCGCTACTCGTTTTGGTTTTGCTCTGTCGAAACGAAATGGAAGAAATGGGACGACTTTACTACCAACTTTACAGTCGTTACATACTACATTCAAAACTGCTTTACAATCGTAATCATCAACTTCAACGACGATTCCGATCCCCCCTGCCCCCGTCTCGACGTAAGCGTGACGTATGCGGTGCTTTTGCTCTAGCGGGACAATTTTTTGGTGCTTGAAACAAACCGGATTCCGGAGCTAAGAGGCTGCTCCACTGCGGTGTGAACAGGAAAACCTGGTGCTTTTCAAGCTCCAGCTCCGAACCGGCCCTGAAACACCGTTGGTGTGAATGAGGTATTTGATTCCTCTGGAGAAGCCCAGCTCTTAGCAGCTAAGCTCTAACTTCACTATGTAGTAACACTTCAAATAAAAAGAGGGAAAACATCATCATGGCTGTAAGTTGGTTTCCTATTTGATATAATTGAATTACCTGCTTAGCAGAGTTCTACTTTGAGGATGTATGTGTGAACAGAGTGTACAAGTGTTATTCTACTCATTCTATCTAATCCTTCTAACTAGCCTCACACCTTTATGGAAGTGTAATACTGAAACGCTTTATAGGGGCCCTGTTATGCTTTTATGTTTTCCCTTTCCTGTAGTGTATTATATAGGGTTTTGTTAATGTTAATGGTCTGCAAAGGCTAAAACCCAAAGTCCCTCCAACACTGCCCCTGCCTCAAACACCCCCATTGGACTCCTTCGTTTTCTTCGGTAACTTATGGCGCGTTTCCACTACAGCGCGGAGCACGGTTTAAGAGGGCTGTGACGTTTTTGGTTGCGTTTCCACTAGGGGTGTTGAAAATAATCGTTTCTACGATGCATTGCGATGCGGACGTGGACGATTCGGTATCGATGCAGTGACGGAAGATAACCGATTATAGCGTATTAACGTTGCTTCCTGATTTTCCGGCCGCGGCTTTACTATGTTTTTTTTTCGGTCACTTTAATATCAAATCGGTCGGTGACGCAGAGATCAGGGAACAGACGTGACAGCGGCACAGCAACACCAAACACGGAGCAGTCTGCTTTATCCACCAACACAAGAACACCAGTCCAGAACCAACAGCAGAAGGACCCGCTCTGAATCACTCCGTGTCGCTGCGGCTCAGAGACACAAGGATTTATGTTTTTCAAAAATAATCGCGTTACAATCATATCAGGTTTTTGGTGGATTTAATTAAGTCTTGGATTGCAGAGTATGAATGTCCTCTAGCAATTTTCAGACGATATTATTATATACGTGTGTAAAGTTTGTGAAGGCAGCAGGAAAAAAGCTTCCGCGATCACAGTCTCCTCTCCGTTCCTCCAAACCCCGCCCCCTCCCTGAAAATAATGAGTGACAGGCTGATAGTGACCCGATAGAAACTTTATTATTCACTTAATCACTGATTGAGATATAATGAAGCTAACTTAATCTCATACATTCATGGGATTTATGTAACAGTAAGACAGAGAATGTAAGTGTGCACCCACATGCAGTATTTTTGTTTTTATATGCTATTGTAAATACTCCTGTTGTCTGCTGTGTTCAGACTCAAGTCCTGTGTGTGATGCCACATTCAGCACATTCAGTGTCCTTTTTTTAACAGAAGACCATTGCTAGAAGCTGCAGCTAGACTGCAGAAGCATTAGTTTTTTGTTTTTGAGGATGGAACAACTTCACACACAGATATAGGGAGGCTAGACCTATACAATTAATTTATTTTGGTTTATAAATTAATGTCAAGACATTTATGTTATTGATTTCTGAAGCACTTTCTAAATAATAAAAACAGAGTTCATATGTATTTACTGCATGTATGCATTGATGAAAAATAAGCCATGTGCAGTAATATAGAAAATTGAGGATGCAGCGCATTGGTATGAATCGTGATGCATCGGGATATCGAATTGAATCGAATCGTTGACAGGATAATCGTAATCGAATCGAATCGTGAGACCAGTGAAGATGCACAGCCCTAGTTTCCACTTGGCCTAGTACCGGCCGGCGGGTCCTAATTCACAGTTTTTCTGGCCTCATAAAATCGTGGGTCTAGGGCCAGAGACAACGAGGCTGAGTCGGGCTGAGTATGCTAAACTAGAGAGAGCATCGCTGGCAAGGAGGCTACAACTACAACAAGATGGACATATTTGACCGTGATTTAATTGTAATACACGTTTCAAAATGATGCCGAAGTAACAACATACTGATACCGGTTAGTAAAAACCATGAATTAATGCTTTGACAAGTCTGCAGACAGACGGCAGGCGAAAAACCTTTTAAAATGCTTGTTTTCTAAATGGAGATTGGCTAACGCAGTATATGCTCCGACCGTCCACACTCACAACAACGGCCTATACAGACATAAATAAAGCAGCGACTGTATTCGCCATGACACAGGCAGTCTGTGGTTTGTACTTGTTTAACTTTTGTCTAGTTTCTGAACAGATATGAGGAGCTGTGAGCTCTGAGTGCTAACAGCTAACGGCTGTGTTGTTTTTCTGGGGTTCTCATTGAAGATGACGTCACGGCTCCGCCTACACTGCGTTACTATAGATACTACCCCAGTTCCTAAACTGTAATGGAAATGCGGCCTAGCCATACCGAGCGAGGCCGAGCGAGGCCGTGTAGTGGAAACGCGCCAATAGTGACATCACTAAGTAAAACTCACCCTTCTCGCCTTGCGCTCCAAAACATTGTACGCGATATGCTTTGTATGCATTGTATGCGACATCTCTAAGCAGTTGACCATTCACAACCGAGCTGACCCGCTAACCAATCAGAGCAGACTGGGCTCTGGTTTCAGACAGAGGGTGAAAAGAGGTGCTGCAGCAGAGGCAGTATGAGAACAATAAAGAACTTTTTGAACATTAAAGCATGGAAACATGTAGCAATAGAAGCACAACATACAATATCATCTTTAAAAATATGAAAACTAATTGGAATCAAAATACTAATCTTTACGAGTGGTGAAGAGCTTTCATTTCAAGACTGTACGCAAGAGTGTATTGCAAAAAGACTAAGAGTCTAAAGCAGGTGTGTTTCAGGGGAAAATGTCTATGAATTGGGTAGTCAATGGTTTGATCCCCAGGCCCTGCATTCAACTTGTCAAAGTGTTTCTCCTTTGCTCCTCCTTTACAGTCATTTTCATATAAGTTCTCATCTATATAATGTAGTAATTTGTTTGAGCCAAAACACACATTCTTACCTTATTGAGGATAGATGATTTAACTGTATACTACTTAACTATTTAGGTGTCACCTACATTAATAGGTCTATAAAGAGCAAAGAAATCCAGGACAAAAAATTGAGCAAAGTGCTTTGACAAGCTGAAAATAAAACCCAAAACATGGAAGTTAAATCACAAATGAAACATCGTTCATCTTGAAAAAACCAAAGAGATATGTTCTCTCCATTCCCACACTACACATTATAGTTTTAGAGGCTTGTTCAAATTCAACTCATGCTGACAGAAGCTACTTGAACATTGTTATCTTAATAGACTACAGCTAAGTCCCACTTTGAATCTAATCAGCAATTTCCCAAATGCCTCAGTATCTTTTCCTATGAGGGAAGCAGAGGCAGCGGTACTCACTGAGGCTGGGTGCAGTCCTGAAGATTACACATTCTGCGGATCGGTTTCGGCTTCTTGCTGGCGTCGCAGTACCCCCGATGGACCATTTTGGTGTCTCCTTTCTTTCGACATCCATACTTGGTGTACTGAAACCCTGTGAAAGAAGTGAGGACCATTTTGTTTTTTAGTAGGAAAGCGTTCTGTTTGTCCATGGAAAAAGGTATTTCATTTAGTTATTAACCGGAACTTTAAACAACAAACCACCACCAAAGAAGCTCCTTTAATAAAAACAAAAAGTAATATGAAAAAAAAAACATGTTAAATAGCTTCAGCTTAAGAGAATAGGAACCAAAGTAGAGAACATAAATGACACAATCAAATGCTGCCTACTTACAGCAAGAGCAGTGAGCCCATTCATCAGATAATCACATTTATAAAAGAAGGAACCAATTTATTCCTCTCAGGTCCTTTTTAATTTGGTGGTAATTTTTCCTTTACCTCCGGCACAAGGCTTGGAACACGGAGACCAGCTCTTCAGAGCCCACTCAAACGTCTCCTCCTGGATCACGTTGTTGTTGTTGATGGGCACCGAATCTTCATGGATGATGTACTTGTACATTAAAGTAGACCGTGTTTCATTATCTTTGGGTATAATCTGCAAACAATGGAAAGAACGAAAATCAAACAAAACACATGACCAAGGGAGCATCGTGCTGCAGCGTATTTGCATGAAACTACTCTAAGTGTAAATGTGTGCAAATTATTTGATTGGATTTCAGGAAACGAGAGTAATTGAAGAAGCCGTTTCCATAATTTCGTAAACACAAGGTGTAATCGGTTGAAGACTGGAATTATCGGACAATAGGGGAGTCTGTGCTTGAGATAAGACTGAAGCCACTAGGGCATCCACTACGGAAACATATTCTCTCTGATCTGTTTTTCTCTGGATCCGATGTGTTTTACAGAGTTTCTGGAGACTGGAACACAAGGGAGCTCATTTCCAAATGGAAACTTTTGGCAGTATGATATACCCTGCACGAGTATAGAGGCAAAGAACCTCCTTTAAAACTTACTTCAATAACAAAACCTTCAATGTATGCTGGACAGACATACTTTTTATATCGAATAATCCAATAATTCATGGTGAACTTTGTGAGCTTTTGCCAGGATGTGAGATCAAAGTGAGCATGGAAAATAACCGAGCAGACTCACAGTTCAGATGATACCACATTTAGTCATTCCCTTTCTTTTTTTAAGACAAAATGAATGACAAAGGGATGATAATTGTTGTTATTAGAGTTGCGATATGGCCAATAAACTACATAATGAAGATCATAAGATAGCAGTGTTATTTGAACCCGCTCTCAGATTTTCAGTTCTTTGATCGTAACTTTGTGTATTCTTGCGTCACTGTTTGTTCGTATTTCTTTTTCTATACCACAAGATTGTAAATTAAGATTTTAAGGATTAGGTGGTAGAGTTCCAACCATGACCCCTTTGTTCTTGGCACATGTGGGCTCATGATACAAATTGCATATTCAATGTTTTTTCATTTTTACCAACCGAAACATCAATGTGTAACTCCTTCTCCTGTGTCTTTTCCTAAAAGAGGCCCTATTATGCTTTAGATAGATAGATAGATAGATAGATAGATAGATAGATAGATAGATAGATAGATAGATAGATAGATAGATAGATAGATAGATAGATAGTACTTTATTGATCCCACATTGGGAAATTGTTGTTGTTACAGCAGCATAAAAGGCATTTTACAATAAAACAAAACTACAAAATATACAAGAATAGAAAGAAAAATAAAATAAAATAAAATATAAAATATACATGTTGAAATAGAAAATATACATGCAGATATTATATATATATATTCAAAATATATGACATTATGGAATATGGAGTATAAATATTGAACAGATTATAGAGTAAAATGTACAAGGTGGTTTTATTTCTAGAGAAACTATGGAGCAGAGAGTTCTCTTCCAGCCAGAGGTGATTTGTTGTACAGAGTTATTGCAGTGGGCAGGAATGTTTTCCAGTATCTGTCCTTGTGGCAGGTGAGCTGCAGCAGTCTGTTGGAGAAGGAGCTCCGTTGACTGACCAGCTGCAGGTGGAGAGGATGGGTTAGGTTATCCATGATGGACAACAGCCTGTTCAGTGTCCTCCTCTCCACCACAGCTTCAAAGGGGTCCAGCTTGAGGCCGATGACTGACCCAGCTTTCCTGATCAGTTTATTGATCCTGCTGGTGTCACCGTCTCTGATGCTGCCCCCCCAGCAGACCGCAGCAAAGAAGAGTGCACTAGCCACCACAGACTGATAGAAGATCTCCAGCATCTTGCTGCATACGTTGAAGGATCTCAGCTTCCTCAGAAAATAGAGTCGGCTCATCCCCTTCTTGTACACAGCGTCAGTGTTGATCCTCCAGTTCAGCCCATTGTCTAAGTGCACTCCCAGGTACTTGTAGACCTCCACAACTGCCACATCCTCTCCTAGAATTCACAGGGGCAGAGGAGGAGATGTCCTCTTCCTCCTGAAATCAATGACCATCTCTCTGGTCTTGGCCACATTCAGAAGCAGATGATTTCCACCAGTCCACTCAACAAAATAAATATTTACCTTTATGGGGTTTTCCCTTTCCTGTAGTGTGTTATATAGATTTGTGTGCATGTAAATGGTCTGCAAAGGCTAAAATCCCAGGCAGTATGAGAAAAATAAACATTAAAGTTTGAACATTAAAGCATGTAAACATGTCACAGTAGGGGAACAAAATACAAATATGAACCTGAAAATGAGCATATGTCCTGTTTAAAGTGAATAACTCAAATATTTAATGTTGAACAAACTGTTTCTATAACAAAATAATCTATCTATCTATCTATCTATCTATTCCATCATTTTCACCCTACAAATTAAAAACACATCAGTTGCACGGTCTATAAAACAGCCGTCATCACAAGACTTTGAAACTAGACATACATTTAGTAAATATTGATAGGATAATAACAGATATATGAGATAAGGAGGGAGAATTTAGCAGGAAAGGGAATCTGGGCTGTTCAAAGGCTGTGCCTCTGTGTTGATATAATCATAAAGTAGATCTTTTTGATAGCGTTTATATGGAGTTTGCAGCAGATTAATTTCACATAAAACGATTTACTCTGAGTTACATCACTCACTAGAAAAAACACAAAAGCTACATTTTTCCTAAGCATTTAATGGCTTGTCATTATCTGTGAAAGCAGACATTGAATTGCTTGTGTGTAATGGGACATTACCAGTTGGGACGACTCACTAAATACCAATGCTGTGCTTCATCATTTATGAATGAGGAATCATGAATGCATTACACATGAATATAACATTGCATCCAATTTGTGAAACTGATCTGTTTTGACCTGCAACAATGTATTTATATACTCCACTTACTGCCAAATTAAATATGAATAATTATCTGAATGATTTACCCTCCTTTCTAAGATTGCTTCTAAGAAAAATATGCTGTTAGTGAGAAAACTGTAAATGAACTTCTGTAAGATGGCCTGTTCTCCTCAGTGTTCCAATACATATGTCTGCAATCATTGTTTGTAATCATGTGTCATAATATGGAGCGCACATAAAAGGTAAGTTATTTAATCCTGCTACATGTGAGTCGTAGGAAAGTAGAGTCGGTATCCCTGGGGGAAAAAACAATAATGTGTAATGAGAAGGAAACACAAGGTGAGATTACGAGGGTGAGTGTGTGTGAGCACTACACATCTCTAATCAAATGTAAACTATAATAAAGACGTTAATCAATAATGGCACCTAAAGCCCTGAGGAATAGAAATGAGAGATCACTAAACAGAAACAAGACAAAAACACATTTCTAATCCCATCAAAGCTCCTCTTGTCAGCTACATATCAATTCATTTCTTCTGGAGCGAAACCGACAGAACACTTGAAACCTTTGAAGTCTGTCAAGACACTCCTTGCATCATCATATTGCAATGCATCCAGAAATTCTTTTATAATTCTTTTACAAAGCTCTTAATGGTTTGGCACCCTCATATATCACTTATTCTTTCCTTATGTCCCTGGTCGAGCCCTAAGGTCTCCTCAGCTGCTTTTGAACATTTCCTAAAGTCACCCAAAATAAAATGGGTGAAGCAGCTTTAATTCAGTACGCACTTACACGGTCAAATTCAGTGGACAGCTGAAACATATATTTTTATTTTAGCTTTTTATTAGCAATACCCCCCTTTTGATTGGTCCTTTAATTATTCTTATAATTGTTTTTTTTATAATGTTTTATTTAGTTATTTATTTTATAGTTTTTATATTTCTTTGTATTTATTCATTTTGTCTAATGTCCTCCTTTGTTTTACTGAGAAGGTTATGCTTTGTTTTTGGGTTGTGTTTTTACGCTGCCTACAGTGAGTTTCTTTCTGTTTTAATTTGTGATGTGTGCCATGTTGTTAAAGCACTTTGAGCTGCACTAAGTGTACAAGAAATGGTACACAAATAAAGCATGATTATTATTATTATTAGTTTTATCTATTTGTTAAAGTGCTCATTATCCTTTAGATGTGTATTGTGTAATATCCTTATTTAGACCTGACATGTTCCTTAAACAAAGAGTACCTTCGATAACAACGATAGGGTAAGAATTAAAGGCATAAAGAACGTTTGTTTTCTGTTTCTTCAAATGCTGCAACACTTTTCATGTACTGAGCCAAAAGTGACTTACTGCTCCAATTATGCAAATGCTATTACATTTTAATCCTGCTTAACCTTGGCTGTTGAAAGAGTGGAGCAACTCTTAATATAGAAAAACAATGTTGCTTAACCAACTCATTTAGTCAACCAACAGTACTTTTACAGCAAGTATTTTAAAAGACCATTAATTCAACATTTTATTCAAAATGGGCATTCAGGGTTTCAGCTGCTGAGAATTAAGAGAAAAGTAGCAGATACAACCCGTTTCGTTCTCGTGTAAACACCGCCTAAGCCAGGCATCCTCAAAGTCCGGACTCCGGTCCGGATCCGGACCGAACCACAACTGTCTCTGGACTCGAAGCAAATTATACTTTTCATATGTATTATCTGTATTATCTGTGTTATCTGTGAGACATCGCCACAACGCAACGAGTCAAAATTCTCCGCTATGTCCACTGCAAACAGCGCTCTGCATGTACGACTGTTCCACTGTCTGTGTGTGTCTGTCAACGCATTGGTCCAATCACATTTAGCATCCCGTCAGCGTTTTTTCCCCCCACCAACAGTCTGCGAATCAGAGGCACAGTAGGGCGGGTCTTCGCGGAATGCGGGTGGGAAAAATGCGTGTGTGTTTAAAAAAAAAAAGTCAGAGCGAGAGTTAACAGCTCATCTAGTTGCATCTGTACTGTAGCTAGTAGCCTAGTTTCACCTACCGGGGTGGCATGGGGTGGCAACTACCACCCTAAAAATAGGCCTTGCCACCCCAGCTGCCACCCCAGTTGGCAGCTTTGTTTTGAAAGAAAAGTTGTGGCTCATCGGACATTTATGAGAGAAAGTCTCTAATGTCCGAGTGCAAGTGAATGCAGCACAAGACGCACGTCTTGTAACCCCTCCCCCGGCCCTGATTTCATTTGAACGGGGGGACGGCGCAAAACGAGAAGCATTCGGACCCAAGTACTGAAGGAATGAGGTATTTGCGGTCTACAATGACAGAGAAGAGACTGTCAAGTTTGGCCCGTACTCAGCATTGAATCAAAACGCACTAAAGCTTTGGATCTTACTAATTTTGTGAGGCGTTTTGCTGAACAAAATGGTAATCGCCGCATTCAGCTGTAATAGACATGTGAACTTCATGCTCTGCTCACGGATGAGCATACACAACTGTTAAGATGATGACCTTACGTGTGTAAATATATATTTTTTCTTTGTGGGGGTCTGCCCCCATAAAACAGTTTTATGTCCTGAGAAAGTCAAATAAGACGGTGTGTAAAACTACACTGCCCAGCCAAAAAAAAGTAACCACTTTGATTTAACTAGGCCAGTAGGTAAGGGCATTCCACTGGATAATAACTGAAGTATAAAAGAATGCATGACTGAAGTGATGGAGACCATGTTTGAACGCAAACAAAAAGAGGAAATAATAGGTCAAATCAAGCAAATCCCCCACTCAGATTCCATAGCAACCAGAAGAACATAAATACTGGCTGGTGATTTGATTAATCAGCTTTGTGATGGAATACAAAATGCACAGTGCATTTCCTTAGCTGTGGATGAGTCCACTGACACCACTGACAATGCTCAGTTGCTGGTGTTTGTGAGTTTTTATGGTGAGGCAATGGGGGAGTTTATTGAAGATGTGTTGGGCCTGACGAACCTCAGTGGACACACAAGGGGGCAAGACATTTATAAAGCAATAATGGGAATGCTGAATAAAAGAGGGTGCAGCTGCCTTTATTCATAACTGTGCAGCTCTTACACTGCGACTCTGAGGGATCAAGCACAGACACAATAACAATGAAAACTGCTGCATACAGATTATTTTTGTTTTTGCAACCTCGTGTTAAGAATCTTGTTGCAATTGTTTAAAAGTTTGAATGACCGTAATAAACGGACCTTTGTCTTATTGAAACCATTTTTTTGGACCTTTAAGATTTGTATTTGAGTACCCCTGGCCTAAGCCAACAAAAAGTATTGTGTAAATATGTTGGTTGGCACGTAAATCTTTTCATTACATTTAACCATTTAAATGTTTCCAGTTGCAAAATATATTAGGTTTTTGATCACTTCCCTTTAATGCGTTCTCTAATGGGATCGATCACAAACATTCAAACGTTAGACTCCTTACGTACAATTGCATCTGCAGCTTCTCATTAGCTCACAGTCATAGAGTGTTTGGACAATATTTCTCTTGCCTCCTTGTCTTTGGCCATAATCTCCTCTGCTGAAGAAACACTTAAGCCTCTTAGAATCTCTCCTCCCTACCCCTGAGAGTTTTTCACCATGGGATGTCTCTTAAGAGTCTCTTTGTGAATCTTTTATCCATAGCAGGATCATTCTTATAAAATATCCTTTTTCTAAGATTTTTCTCCCAAATGCGTCACTAGGGCACTTAAAATTTGTATGTGATATGATCAATAGAACTCGCTCAGGCCTCATCAGAGGAAGCATCTTCTGAGTTGAGAGAGCTGCTTAACAAGAGAAGTGAACATATGACATCAACAGCCGTGTATTAAAACATTGGACAATCAGACTACTTACTAATATCAGATTTTCCAGAATCACAGCAGCAGTTTAATACAGAAGTGTTTTTGCTGTCTTATATCCTCCTGAAGGGAAGCACTGTGTTGTGCAGTTCAATTTGTTTCAACTTTGACCTCCTTACCACTAACATTTTGATGCGCAACCAAACAGCTAACAGCTGTATGTAGCTAGCTGGCAGGGGAGGTAACAATAGAAACAAAACATAAGGCTGTTTTTGCTCTTCGCCCTCGCAGTGAGCAAAGAGCAAATTCGGTTTCATTTGAATGTTGCCATGTCATTTTACTGGCCTGAAAATCTGATTCCAATCATATCAATTCAACACTTAAAAAAAGGCTTAAAAAAGCTAAGTAAAAGTGATGGGAAAATAATGAGAAAAATAGGCTTACCTGCTTCTTTCACAGGGCTCATTTTCAAGCAAAGAGGATATTAGAAAATGGAAGTACAAGCAGTAATAGAGAAGGAGTTGTAATTACCAGAACCACCACAGGGTCGTGAAGAGGTCCGTCAGTGTGCAGAGTCTCCACCTCGTCCTCAATGATGTAGTGCCACTCCACGCCCAAGTCAATGAAGCTTCTGGACTTGACTTCCTCTCCTTTCCCGTTGAGGATGTAATGCCCCGTTGCCTGGTTCTTGATTGCTGCAATCATTCGTTTGGTTATGACCCAGTGACAAAGAAACCTGGCACTTGCTTGGAATGATTATGGTTGAAAGTTATAATGGGTTATTCATGCAGTACATTTATGGAGAACAAGCGCCTGAACTTCTTATATAATACAACTTCTACGACCTGAGGCTGAAATGAGGATTGGCATGTTACCTAACTGCTTTAAATATATCTGATGTAAATCAGTTGCAATTAAAAGATGTCAAAACAACCCGAATTGTGTCTGCTAAAGATCCTTCCCTCCTGCTCCAGTGCAGATTATAACAGATTAGTCCACCGAGTGAATAAAACAACAACAATGCTTCAACTTCTCTTCAACTTTCACATAAATGCAGAGTTGACAGCAGGAAATAAGAAGCCACTAGTTCTTGAAATAAAGCAAGTAAGAAATATCTTCAAATTGATCCATCAGCACATGTCATTTCAAAGTGAATGACAGTGACAGGAAAGATGGATGCGATAGAGAAACTACAGAAAAGGAATAATTGTAATGCTGCAGCTAAATATTTCATTAAGAGTTAGATGTTCACCCTAGATGAAATCTTAATAAACACATTTCATTTTGTCACTTTTTTCTTCTATTCTGCTCCAGCAACCACATCTCACGGAGTTCAGAGTCGATGTATGGGGACAAAACATTGGATTTCCTAATTATATATAGAAAGTCAACTTTAGGGTGACTGTATCTGCGAGGGAGTGCGGTCGTCTTTCAACAAGAGGGTTGCGGGTTCGATCCCAGCCGTTGCAGTCAATAATGTCTATGTAACCTTGCGCAATATACTTCACCCTGAGTTGCTACCGCCTACAGCTGTGTAACAAAATGAGTTAAGTGCTCTTTACAAGAACGTTAATGGTGAGTGATGAGGAAGAATCAAATATGAAGCAGTGCCCTGGACAGCTCCCTCAATCAGCCTTGATTGACACATTTGAATTGGTACATTTAAAAAATGTACATAACACAATTTACTCAATAATCTGTGTCGAGTTTTCTTTTGTAAGTTTGACATGTTGAGTATCCTCCATATGAAATAATGAAAAGTATGCCTTCACTGTGCTGAAAGAAAGGGGCCTATTCAGGGTGTACTGCAGGGGGACTTACGTGTTTGTTACTGTACTGATGTAGTTACTGCTTTACGCATGTCACATACGTGGTAGTTAACCCCCGCCCTGACCTCCTACATACTGTATGCAGTCATTGTCACTCTTTTTATTACTGTACCTTAATTCCTCCTTTGATCCCTTTCATTATCTTTGTATTTGCTGTGAATGACCTGTGGGTGTGTTTCCAAGGATCCTCACTCGCCTGCCTTTGTTCCTGCTTGTCTCCTTCCTACCTGCCATCCTCCAACCTCACACCACGCCCCTTTCTTCCCTTTCCCCCTCATCCCCTGATCCAGATCCCCCTCTAGAATGATAGTAATACTTTCTTACCACCACGACCCATTTAACAGACGACTCTGCTTTGTGATGACAGAGGCCATTTCCTCTGGCACAGTCCAGCTCTCTCCTGAAGCACACAGCCAATATTGCTTCTACAGGAGCAGCTGACCGCTCTCTGGGCCTTTCAGCTTCATGATAACAAAGGAGAATGCTCCATCAAAGGCCATTAAAGCTAGCGCCAGAAAGTGTGTGAACTGTTATTGTTATACTTTTTAAGGATTATAGATAAAGGGAGTTTTTGTTGGGTAGTTAAGTGGAGGGGTTCCAAATCTGTGGGCCTTACAGCAGCTGATGTAGTGATGGTAACAATGTAGGAAGTGAATCATGTTGTTATTGGGCAACAAAATTGCATATAAACGTACTGCTTACTTAATAGATACTCTAGACTCTATGAAAACCTAAAAAAGGTAGGATATTAAAAGTGTTTAGAATGGCCCAAAATCTCATACGACTGATGGCATCCTTTGGGTCCACAACATCTGTGTGGGAGACAAACTCCCTCTGGAGGGAACTTTGGTATTATAGCTTTTTTAGACCACTTACATGCACACAATCCTATATAACACACTACAGGAAAAGGGAAAACCCAAAAAGCATAATAGGGACTCTTTAACATACAAGTGTTTTGGTTACAGTCAGGAGATGGAAATCCGATTGTAATTAGAAATTGACTAATTAATGGTTGGAAGAATACCACCAGTCAAAAAGTTAAAATCTACCTCAGAGACCTGTATTCTCTCTCAGACATGCTGTAGCTGAGGCTCATGAATTCACTAATGAGATAACTATTGCTATTATACTGCAATCCAATACACATCAACCTCTTGACACCACTATTGGAACAAGTGAATGAGGCTGGAGGTTTTTTTAATATAACTAAATAAGGTGGGGTTTAAAAGCTTCTATTAACACTAGATTGCAATTTAAAGCGGAAATAGACCCAATTTAGTTTTTAAGTTATTACTTTGAAGTAAATGTTTCTGGCACAATGTAATTACCTATTTGCCACACTTTCACTATGCAATTTGTATGCCTAGCAGTGGTTGTGTTGGTAGCAGCAAAATATGGATTTGGGATTTAAGGATTTGCACACTATTTACAAATAAAACTAAAATGTTGTGACTGTCTTAAACCCATCCTTCTCATTATATAGAAACAACAATCAGTGTCTTTCCAGTACAGTACATACATTATACCAGGCCACCCTAACAATACTTGCTTGATTGTCAGTGATTGGATCTGATTGGTCATTAAGCTGGCAAAGATAGCTCTGCCTGTCAAAGCTTTTCAAGGAACCCACTGACACACGCGAGGAACATTACGGGCATGACCAATTACTCTAAGCTACTGACTCATTCATTTTCATCCTTATCAGGGGGGGCCAAGACCTTGACTACGGCTTTGAGACGCCTCATACTGAACTCAGAGTTTTAAGAAATAGAAGGTGACTGTCAATATATCTTGGTGTTGGTTCAGCAGACATAGTGAACACTGGCTCCTCTAATGGCTTTATATCAGATAGTAATACCAAAGCAGGAAATAAAAAAAGATGAACTTGATGGCTGGAGACGGACAAACTCAACTCAATATCACTTCAATGCATGCAGAACAAAAAGTGACTGTTTGGCTATTTTCTACTGAGACAAGGCTCACTTTTCTTTAAGTCCGCTGAAGCAAATGTCTGATACGTTGGTTATATAAATAAGACTGGCTTGACTTGAATGACATTTAAACTCAGCGAGGGGAAAAATGTCTCCCTTCGAAGAATGAATAATGTGACAAGCTCCTTTTATAAAGGACACGATTCACAGCTTTTTGTCCTCTGCAGGGACACGATCTTCCAATCATAGCTTAGCAACTGTCACTAGGCAGCATGACAGTCGAGCTTTGAAAGTCACCGAATGTTGAACGGCCATTATTAGGTGTCACGATTCTTGGGAGATAAGACAGAATTCTCTGTGGAGGAATGTAACTAAAGTTTATTCTACTCAACGGTAACTACTGTATAGCGTATTTTTCAACCAGAGCTATCACAATATCTTACCAGCATCAACACTTGTACCTACCCTCAACGATTGATACTTTGATTCAGAAGACAGTGGTTTGGTCAGGTAAGGTTTACCTACAACAACTACTTAATTAGGGTTAGGACAATAATGTTGTTTAAGTTGAAATGGTGACTATGATAAGATATAAATAATAACTACTTAGTTTAGCTGCTCTTTTGATGATAGGTAAAGAGCAGCTAAATACATGTTTTACTTATTAGACCCTTATACCCAAAGCGACTTACATACGCTCAATTCTGTGGACAGTCCCCACAGGAACAATTTCGGATAAAGTGTCTTGCCCAGGGACAATGCAACATGCTGACTGCTGTGGGGGTCCAGGTGGGATTGAACCAGTGTCAGCGCTCTAACCCACTGAGCCTCCTGTGGCTCAGATAGCTAAACTATCACTACGGCTAGCAATCTAATTTGCTAGCGTGTTTGATGACCCTTACTGGTTGTACGAGCTATTACAATGTTATCTGTTCCATCACACTGGCTATTGACTTAACAACAGTATAAAACATTTCAATAGAAAAATGGTATGATAAATACATTCAGGCCGATTTTATTATTAGAAAAAAAATAATGTTCATTTGTTGCTGCATCAATTGTTGTAAAGGATTATTTTTTCAGGGTATCATTAAATGTGGTTTTCAAAATCTTCATTGGGAGATATGTTTTTATGACAATTCATCCTAGATATAATGTATTATTTTGGAGCAGTAGGTTTTTCTTGAGTCTCTAGTTTTAGTTGTGGTATCATTATCTCTGAGCTGCACTTGACAACTGTTCTTTTACAAGAACAGTTGTCTTTTTCACCTTTTTTAGTTTGACCTTTGTTTCCGCTTCAATTTGACAAGTTAACAAGGCTACAGAAAAGTAGCCCTTCAATGCTATCGTCTGTCTCTGTTGGTCACTTGAGCCGGTCCAAATCAAGAGTATGGATGAGAGCAGCGCTCCGTCACTGCCTGTCAGCAATATCATGCCTAAAAGCTGCTGTGAAAAATATATATCCGTGCCTGCAGTCCTCCACGGAGAGAAGGAAAAGCACAATCAATGGGACACGGTCAGTCAATATATGTACGCCTGTGGCATACACTTCATCACGGCTGAACTATGATGCCAATGAGTTTAAAGTCAATTGTCAGAGTCAGAACATTACATCAGTTGTAATGTTAAAAGTCAAAGTAGTAAATATACATAACACTGATTAGCTGTCCACTGGCACTGACCGGACATCAATCCCCTATTGATTTATATTAAAGGTAGGGTAGGTAAGTTTAAGAAACCGGCTCGAGATACACTTTTTGTTATATTCCATGGAATGCTCTTAACATCCCGATAGCAATGAATATCTGAAGTGCTTTGACAAAAGATCCATAAAAACATTTCATCTGTGGAAGCCGTAGTACTGTAAAAAGCACGACCAATCATTTTAGCCGGCCCGGCTAAAATAACTGGATGGCCTACCTGCCTGTCAGCCTTCCATCTGTGCACAAACTTATCTCGTGCCCTCATTGGTCATGTGCGCGTTCGTGTGTGTTGGAGGAGGGGCTCTGTAAGGAAGTGGCAGATTTTCTCCGGTTGTGTATTTTCAAATTCTAGCGATCTCGAGCCGGTTTCTCAAACTTACCTACCCCACCTTTAACTATAAACCTATGGTGATCATCTCCAAAGACATTATGTAAAGTTGTCTTTTTGACCATTGTAATTGGGCTCTTTGCAGATTAGACTTTGGACGGTATTCGTAATGTTTTAATGTAATTGGCGAACTCTTCAGAATTGGTATTTTCTGCCAGTCAAATGACAGCAAATGTTTTCACTGAAAAAGGGGCGATGACTTAGAGGGAAAGTAACCGGATTGGCTGCTCTCATCTATAGTTTTGTTGAAACGTGTATCCACCCTGGACTTTGTGGCCAGATAATAAAGCTGTGGCCTTATTCCTCCTCTGCTCTCAAAGTTCAGTTACAGTATAACTCCTTTAGACACTGCAGGGTTTATAACTTCAACATGAACAGAGGTCAAAATAATGCATTTAACATAGCCGTTTCTACAAAACACATAGATCACAGTTCCTCTCCTCTGAGTCTGTTCAAAAGATCCCAGGCACACTCCTGCAGCTTTAATATGAATATTAAGATATTCCACTCTGACTAATGCCACGTTTCTATTGGCGTGGTCATGAACAAAGCGAATGTACTAGATTATAAATGTGAATTCCCCTTAACATAGTAGAGAAAATAGTAATGCTTAAACAAAACTGCAGTGCCATTCTTCTGGCAGTGAGAGAACCCACTTATCTATTGATCTCTCTATAATATATAATAAATTATGAATGAGCAATACGAAGACTAATTCTCTCTGCCTGAGAGGTGACATGGAATAAATTATGCAAAGCCTCACATCTATTATTCTACATTATGTGTTCTCATTAGTCTTCCTGGAAAACAAGAAGAGGATGTTGACATGTCCTCTCTGATTTCATACAGTACATGTGTTGGTGTTAGGAAGGCACACTTACCAAGAATTTGAGGGGAGGCCTCATGTTCTTGGATCATCACATGTCTAGCTCCAGGAGGAATGAGAAACATCTTAAGGTAACCTTTGCCAAGTTTGTAGCGGCAGCAGAAGCAGATGAGGGAGGGTTAGGAAAGAAAAGACACACACAGGTAAGTTAAGCAGATACAGAGAAAATATTTGTTTGCAGTGGTGGACATCACGCATGTTTCAGAAGTGTTGCTCGACAGAGAAGAAAATGGTAAAATGTCTCCTTCAATAGAAGCCTACAGGTATTTTTTTTTATTGAAACAGGCTGTTCATTCACATCTATCTTTTGCGTCATCAAAGGACTCTTAGCAATGTCAACATATTATTTTGTTACTATTACATAACTCAAGATATCCCTTAAAAAAACTCTCCATTCCTTTATTTTGAATATACGCAGACAGGATGGGAATGCCTCAAGCCATGTTTCAATAAAGCGTGAAGAACAGGGTATTTTCGGACTACAGGGCAGCAAAGTGGCCTTCTGTCAGGGATGTCCACCGCCTGCAAACCTACCATGACTCACCGAGTACATTTCTAGAGTCTTCCGTCTCATTTAAATACACATTTCGGGCTCCTTTGGGCAAAGAGAAGGCTCCTCTGGTCTTCCCTTCAAAATGAAATGAATCAGTTAGTGAGTCTCGCAGTGTTTCCTCCCGTATCCAATTTGATCATTTCTCTGCAACATCACCTACAGTGGAGGCACATTTAATTAGCATAGCAGGGAGCAGAGCATTTCACATCGGATGAGGCGGCAACCTATTTTTTTCCCTGGCAGGCTAACACTTGACAATCACCAGGACTGAATTGCCGTGCTGTAATTACTCGCCCTTGGATTTGACAATGGACGCCTCCTGATGCAGACGATGATGATTATGAATGCGCTGGCACACTGTCGCAGTGTTCACACGGGGTCACAACAGGTGGCAGACCAGGGGAAGCTGCTCACTCTGCTGTGTGTTTGAGAAGATAAATTGCAATGTACCTTTCGGAAAATGGCAAAAGATGCCCTCTTCGCTGAGAGAACATTTTGTAATAGCAGCCAATTTCAGAAACCTCAAGCCACTCAATAGAAATAACAATTTGATCACATGGCTTTTTGTGGACTGATTGGAAAAACTGCACACAAGCGAGCTTTCTAAAAAAGACCACTTTGGATGTGAGCGGTTGAATGGAGCATTAGCATGCCAGTTGAGGCTCAATCAATCAACGTTTAAATAGCCAACAACATCCCAGATTACCTCCAAAAGTCTGTCAGTTTGTTTGATGACTTTTTTTGTCTGCACAAAGACCTCTAAAGTTAGTTTGTTAGGCTGTTGAAGCAATTTACATTAAATGATAATACATACAAAAACAACATCTCTGGATAATGAACCTGTCACAGTTCCCACAGTCAGACCTAAACAGACGCTTGATTAGTAACAAGGAACAGAAGAAACAGCAGATTACATCACTCTTGTCTCTAAGTCACTACAGTGTTAGGCATCCATCTGCTCTACAAGCTGCACAGTAAATGCTATAGGACAGCAGTAATGGAGTATTCAGTAACACTGGATACTTGCATATTGTGTTTTCCAACAAAGGGCTTTCTTTTTGGGCTCTCTTGCTTAAGTGTTTCCCTGTTAAAAAAGGTGAGGGGTTAAAAGAGAGAGTGATGTGAAGAAACAAATTATGAAATGGATTGATAACAGTTTCAACAATTCTGAAACGGTTTAATGAAGCCGTCACGTCAAATCCCTCACAACGTCAATTTTCATTTGATTGACTTTATGACATCACGTCACATGGATAATGGTGTAATGGTAATATAGTGATGACAGATGAGGCTGGCATCAGAGGTGGTTACTAGAAGGCATCATGAAAACGTTAAATTAAATGCACGTGTCGTTTGTTATTTTCTCATGCTGGAGATTAATGTGAAAACACATTTTTCACAAAGAAAATGAATCACTTACTCACACTCATTCAGCTTAACAACGCAAAGTAAGTTTTGTTACAGACAAAACACCCATGTGTGAGTGTGTGTGTGTGTGTGTGTGTGTGTGTGTGTGTGTGTGTGTGTGTGTGTGTGTGTGTGTGTGCGCGCCCTGTATGGCTGCAGAGGGGAGATAACCTAAAGGAAGCAGCCTCAATTGAAGAAGTTTGTACGAAGAGAAGGCACACTGTCTGAACTAACAAACTCAATAATAAGAAGAGAAACTAATATGTGAAATGAATAAAAAGGGGCATAATTATTTTTCTGCTAATTAATAAGGTTCTTAATCCAAAACAAAAACAAATGTGACAGCTGACAGATACTGTGGCTTTTCCCGCTCCCTGTAGATTTATTTATTAGCTTTGAATGCAATATTCTGCACATTAACAAAGATAAATGACATAGCGATCTGTAGAGTGTGGACGCCATAGTGTCGTGCAGTGATTACATATTTGTGTAGGCCGACCCGGAAGTTAGCGCCACAAGGGCTCATTTGACAAAAAGGAATGGTCTTTTTCCTTTTGTTTTTAGTATTGCAGGAAGCAAGATCTATGGCAAACACACGTTTATAATACTTACACATTTTGTTCAGCAGGATAGTCCGCGCATTTCAACACCTTTATGGTGTATAGCGTAAATGCAATCGGCAGTAGTAAAAAGCTAATGTTTGGCTTGAAACAAACAACATCACGATTCCATGGCTGTGCATCACTACCGCTAAGCTAAAGCCGGCTAATGTTCGGTGTGATGACGTTTAGTATTTAGTACTTTACTTTAGTACTCAATCAGCCACTTTTTTGCAAACGCCATTTTTAAAAGACATGGAAGATTTGAACACTCACCAGTGTGGTATTTACTCAAGGATTTGATGTCTTAGAACAAAAAGTGGAAATCTCCTAAGCTTGTGTTAACCACAGATCTTATTTCACATGTTGAAAAAAACATTGATTTTGAGACTTTTTCAGAAATCATACTGGGATTAGGTTTCACATGTTAAAAGGAGTAAAACAAGAGTGCCACTGAAAAAAGATTACTAAAGTGCAGCATGGACAAAGCTGCACTCCACTCACAGACATGTGTACTGGTTTCATGTTTTCTTACCAGGTTTCTTTGGTGTTCGGGTGAAGGATCCTTTCACAGTGCGGCAGTGGGAGTTGTCCCCACCACAAACACCACATTTGTCTTCAACTTTGGTGGAGCCAATCTCTCTGTCGCAGCCGACATTCTGCAGACCACGAACATAACCAGACAGATGAGTTGAGATTCTTTTTGGACTTGTTAAATATACAAAGTGGTTTTACAACAAGGCTTCGTAATGAGATTATCAGTGCTAAATGGAGACGGAGTTGTGTAAATCTGATTGTGTTTTGAATACACATGTTATACAGATCCAGCAGAGCATTCCAAAGCATACTCTTTTTGGTGGAAAGTACTTTGAACATTTACTCAAGTACTATACTTAATAACCATTTTAAAGAACTACTTATGTATTTCTATATTATGCTACTTCATACTGTACTTATAATTAAATACATTACTGCGGAAGATTTGCTTTTACCTCGACACATGTATCTGATAGCTTTATAAACTTTGCATGGTCTGATTATTAATAAAATAAAATAATAAAATAAATGTTGATTTAATTAATAAAGATTAAGCTAACCAGCAATATATAAAGTAATTGAGGCAACAGCAGATGGACATTTACCATCAGCAATTTTAAAGTGATAGAAACACAAATTGCATCAATTATTTTACAATTATAAAATAACAAAAATAATTTAAAAAGTGTCATTATGCATAATGAGGACTTTTCCTTTTTACACTCTTGGTATATCATTTCGTACTTTTCTTATATACAATTGTATTGCATCACCTGTACGTCTACACGGTTGTATTGTTACTTTAACTAAATGTAATATATTTGTATACTTACTCACAACTCTTTCTCCATGAGATGCAAGGCAGACACAGGGGCAAGGCAGGGCCCTATTATGCTTGTTTTTCAGGTTCATATTGGATTTTTTGTGCCTCTACTGTGACTTGTTTACAAGCTTCAGTGTTCCTCTGGGGGGAAGTTGGTATTAAAGCCTTTGCAGACCATTTACATCCATCACATATATGAGACAACAGGAAAGAGAAAATCCCCAAAAGCACAATAGGGCCCCTCTAAATGTTTCACTGCTCCTACAAAGTGCATCTAATTTTCTCCAAATGTGTTATTAAACACAGTTTTACCAAGCAAATAATTTGTAAGCATTTGTGGTTTTATGACTATTAGTTGCCAAATTCTTGTTGCTGTGACATACGTATTTCCGTGACCAAGACTTGTATCTTCGTATGTACTTATGTGTACATTGACATTCTGCTTTGATTAATTTCAGTAAGGAGGGAAATGTCAGATTTTAGACTCCTGGTTCTACGCAGCATGTGCAAAGTTAAACCTGTTACTGATCGGTTTTCCAACATCACACTTTGTCTACATTTTTATAGATTTAAAATACAACTTTTACAACGTCAACATCATGTAGTTTAACCACATGCTTACCACACATTCTCCCCGTACGCAGATGCTGTAGGCGTCTTTGTAAGAGCATCGTGTCCCATCATGCACCAGCAGCTTCATGTAGGCCACGTCTGATGTCTCCTTTGACTGGCAGTACAGGTGGCATCTCTTGTTAGCTACAGGAAAACACATTATAAAAATGTTGTGGAAAGCAAAATCCAACTTAGAGAAAGATTGATATTTTGAAAGACTTTCAAAGATGAATGTGTTGTATTTACATAATGTCTAAACACTTAAAAACATAAAATATGCACAATTAGATCCAGACTTTCAAAGGGTAAAAGGGAAAAATGAATCTCATTAAATATACATCTCTTTATGTTGGATAGTTTAATAGCTTGTTTTTCAATTGGCTGGATTGACCTACATTCTTTATTATTTTGCCGAAGAACTGACACAATGTCCCACTGCTTTTGCTGCGGAGATTACAACTATCTTGCAATTTACACCCACCAACATGTCAATTCTGACAGGCATCGACAGGCATCCTCTCAGAGCAATAATGGCCAATTCGAAGTGGCATATTATATGCAAAACTTCCTCTACAGTATGTAACCTTTACACAGCGAGATATGCGCTCCAACTTGGCTAGAGTAAAAAAACATCTTCAAAGGTTGTGATGATTAATCACAGGCATTGCTCTCTCAGTTGCTGAACTTCTAAAACACAATGGGAGTTTCACAAAAAGAAAAACAAACCGCTATAAATAAATCAACTCCTGAGCTCCGTGCCTTCACAACTTCATACCATTCATCCGTTTGCATCTCATATATTTATCCATTATTACAATAAGCAATATTTAATTTCACTGTACAGCATTTAATCTTCTTTTTCTATCTTAATCTATTTTACTTGCATATAGTTTACTTCTCCTGCATTAATTGAACATAAGTCTTGAAACATTCTCTTGCAATATTTTATTTCTACTCTGATTTTGTTTTATGTCGTATATATGTTTATGTTGCATTGAAGGAGGAGCCTCTGACTTAAGTGTTTTCATTGCATATCTACACTGTAGCTGTGGATATGACAATAAAGCCCTTTCAACCTTTGAACACAATAGGAGTTTTGTAAATCCATCACCACTGAAACTCTCTCTACCCTGACCAACTGCCTGATTGAAACAAAATCCTGGATGCAATGCTACTACCTCAAACTCAACTGTAAGACATTTGGCATGCTCATCATTGGTCCCAAATCCCTCAACAGAACCAATAATAACTTCTGCTTCACCATTGAGGACTCCATTCTTTCTCCCTCCATACACATCCGCAACCCTGGAGTCATTTTCGACAGCAACCCGACTTTTGAAAACCATATCAACCACATCACCAAAACCGCCTTAAAAATATAGACCAACAAAACGAACCTAATTAAACTAAAGTATATTCAGAACTCAACTGACCATCCCCTCAAACCTGCTCCCATGACCACATCACCACTCATCTGCAGAAACTCCACCATTTGTCCTCATTTTAAAACATTAATCAAAACTCACCTCTTCAGAGCTGCTTTTAATGTGCAATTCATTTTGTGTATCTTATGACTTAGGTCTTATATTTATAATTTATTTATGAATTTGAATATGTATCTGTAAGGATATCCTGTCTTTGAGTCTTTTTAAAAGCACTGGGGTGGTGCTTTTAAAAGAAACTCTTTATATAGGTTTGCACACAAACCTATATAAGACACTACAGGAAAAAAAAAGCCCAAAGCATTATAGGGCCCCTTTTCCAAATTGTATCAGGTGTTTATGTACTTTTATTGAATTTAGATTCTGAGTTGTAGTGAAGAGCAGGAGCAGAAGACACCAAGTGTTATCCTTATCCATTGGATTTTTGCTATAATGGTGATATTGAACAATGTTAGACATACAAGAAAATAAAAGCCCTTTTTCCTTCATTACGTCTCCATTTTCTCTGGATTGGTAATATAAATAGATTCCTATTCCTAACCTTTTTACCTTTCAAAGTAGACAAAAGAAATGCATATACTGTTAGCTATATGGTTAAAAAACTATCCCCGATTCATTTATGCTTTATTATTAAAGTAAATTACCCTTAGGGCAAAGGCCAGAATAACCTCACTCTACACTAATTAATATAATCTTGTACAAAAGGCCTTTGATTTTCTATTGAACGTAATAACTGGGTCTAAATGTAAAAATACTCTCAACTATGCAGGATAGCTCGTTAGCTTCCATAGAACAACGTGCTCCCACTTTACATTCTGGCAGCCTTCATAGGGTTTTCTTACTTCTTTTCCACATGACTGACTGGGGGAACACAAAACAATTGAAGTGCAGGAGGTTGGAAACTGCTCCATGGAGCGAAGCCAGAAAAAGCTAATTCTGATAAAGAAATTAAAAAAAGATGAACGTTTTATATCTGCACTATAAACACCCATCATCTTTACAAAAAGGGGCGATTTTGAGCGTGGATGGCTTTAAACGCTGCATGCTGGCATAGTTATAGGAAGATGAACAAATGTAAAACAATAGAAGAAAGAAAATACAAAAAAACTGTTAAAAAAGTTCAGAAAAGGGTCTGTTTGATAATGTCCCTTAAACGGCTGGGAAATGTTTCGAATGTACAATATGTTTCTTTCAGTTCTTGCTGTCAGAATGCAGATGCCCTTCCCTTGTAGACTTTCTTTGTTCTTTCTTGGCCTAGAAAAACCTTGACAAGTCTCGCGTTAAAACAAAATTATCTTTTGAAATGTTTCTGGCTTACTGTCAGGATGTTCGTAGGGCAGCCAATGGTGTTTGGCATTTTGGAATTCAAAGTGGGAGTTGCGGAGCTGGCACTGCTGAGCTCTGAAATCCTCGAAGTGCTTTGGGCAGTCGTCAGAGTTGCAGAGCTGATACTCGAAGTTCACTCCTGGGCAGTCCTGGCCGCCGTTGGAGGGCCTGCAGGGGGGGAATAGTAAGCAGTACTTTGAGACCACAATGTGACAACAAATCCTGCTTAACCCTAAAATGGACAATCACATATAGATATTATGAAAAATGTATTGATTGCTTTGTTCTACATTACACTCATATTACGATGTTACGTCACCCATATATTGTATTGATATATTAATACATAGACACAACCTGTCAAATGACTGTTTCCCACACAATATAGAAATCATTTTATGGTTAATGTGTGATGAGAAAACATGCATAAAAGATTGGCGTTACGTTTAACATTGCACCTGTAATGCTCTGTCAGAGTTTCCTATTTTATTTTGAATGGGGTTTTGCACCCCGTGTGTGTTTTTACTTCATGCCTGTTTTCCCGCCTGTTTGATTACAAGCTCAATTTCACCTGCTGCCTTTTTCTAGAAGTTGCTTACATTGTTTATTTGAACCCCAGTGTTATTTGTATATGTCATTAATAATGATTGACTGCCAAGCCTACAAAGAACAATTAAATCTGACAATAAAAGTTTGTCTTTCTAAAGCTGTTAAGCAATTACAACAGAATAGTGTGCACATTATACTTTAAAGACTTAAGGGTTGATCAGTGAACAGGAGCAATTTCTCGTTGAGTTAATGAGTAGTGTCTAGCTTTAGGTCTCCTTCATGAAGGTGTGATTTATTATATGCCCATACTGTACGTAGTTGTAACAGTAGTGTTAATCACTCTGCAAGAAAGTCAATAATTCTATTTTAAAAAATGTCAAACAATTCCTTTAATATAAGGAGACTAATGGGGCATTTCCACCATGGCGCGGAGCGCGGTTTAAGCGTGCCGTGTCGTGCCGGGCCCGTTTTTGGTTGCGCTTCCACTAGGCCTAGTTCCGGCCCGGGGGTACTTTTTCACCTCTTTTCTGGCCCGACAAAATCGTGGTTCTATCGGGGCCAACAAACAGGGCTGAGTCGGGCTGAGTATGCTAAACTAGAGAGAGAATCGCTGGCAAGGAGGCTACAACTACAACAAGATGAACATATTTGACCGTGATTTAATTGTAATACACGTTTCAAAATGATGCCGAAGTAACAACATACTGATACCGGTTAGTAAAAACCATGAATTAATGCTTTGGCAAGTCTGCAGACAGACGGCAGGTGAAAAACCTTTTAAAATGCGTGTTTTCTAGATGGAGATTGGCTAAGCTAACTCAATATATGCTCCGACCGTCCACACTCACAACAACGGCCTATACAGACATAAATAAAGCAGCGAGTGTATTCACCATGACACAGACAGTCTGTGGTTTGTACTTAACTTTTGTCTAGTTTCTGAACATATATGAGGAGCTGTGAGCTCTGAGTGCTAACAGCTAACGGCTGTGTTGTTTTTCTGGGGTTCTCATTGAAGATGACGTCACGGCTCCGCCTACACTCCGTTACTATAGTAACTACCCCAGTTCCTAAACTGTAATGGAAGCGCAGCATGAAGTGAGCTGGCCCTAACAAGGCCCAACGCGGCCTAGCAGTACCGAGCGAGGCCGAGGCCGACCGTGTGGTGGAAATGCGCCATAAAACTCCTTGGTTATCGTAGCCACGAGTCAAGTTAAAGAAACTGTCATGGTGAGAATAAAACACAGGGGACTAGTATTACTAGATGTGATGTGGACTTTAAAACCAACATTGGGCCCGATTTCTCTTCCTTTGACATTTTGCATTTTACATAAAAATCAACTAGAGAGAATATGCGTAGTTTGAGGTGTTTGACGAATCAATGCTGTCTTTTTTCTGGTTAGGATAGCCTGAATAATACCTATACTCCCTGTAGCTCAGTAGGCAGGGTACATTTAAGGTTACAAAAAAGGACATCTACCCACTTCAATTATCCAACAATACCTGCCAGCTAGGATCAACCTCCTCCTTTAGGTCAACATTTTGTAATAATGCCTGTCACTCACGCTGGGCTGGTGCACTGACGCGTCCGGAAGCGAACTCCAGTACCACAAGAGCGGGAGCAGGAGCCATACTTGCTCCAGGAGCCCCAGGCGCCATCTTGCTTGATCTGATTAGGATTCTTCCACATGCAGTGACCTTTGTAGCACCACTACAGAGGATGACAGGAGACAGGGAAACATAAAAGACTCAAATAACATCTATTTAGAGCAGAATTGATGCAAAATAATGTATTTTGTGACATCTTTGTAATTGCTAGAGGATTGATGTGTCATGGGAATATATAATAGGTAATGAGGTGGGTGCTGATAGGTTAAGGTATGAGTGTTTATCAAATAAATCAATACAAATAATAAAGGCAACACTCATTACAGAGCATGAGCAACATATATAACCATTTAATGAATGATGGTTAGTTCAATAGATAAATATAACATTTTGTGAAAAAAAGACATGACCAATAACACAAATAGTAGTGTTACAAATAATAACAAATACTAGGTACTTGCTACATCAACAAGTATAATGCTAAAGCAAACCACAATATGCAACATTTGTGTAATTGATAGGGGATTGGTGTGTTATGGGATATGGTGTCACGTTGTGAGTGCTGTTACCTTTAGGCATGACTGTATATCCATTTAATCATTCATGAGAATGTCACAACAATTACATAATACTAAAATAAATAACCCTAAAAGTAAAAATGGTGAAATGTATTGAAAGGGGAAAATTAAAACTAAATTAAAAAAGGACCAATCACGAAAAAGTCCCCAATCATTATTAAGATAATAATAATAATGAGAATAAATAGTAGATACTTGCTACATTAACAAGTATAAAGTGCTGAATCACAGGAAAGTAATTGCATTATGTTAAAAGGATAGGGATTGTGTATTATGGAATAAGTGTTACATGATGATAGCTGCTAGTGTAGGGTTAGAGTGTTTTTGGCACAAAGACATACGTCTGTTTTAAGCTGGGATTCGTTCACAGGCTGATTTAATGGGGTAATGAAAGCTGCCAGTGTGTTGCTTAGTGCTGATGTGAAATTATTTGTATTACAAAAAGGTCTACCATTATGCGATGGCTATTGTGTTTCTTGTTTTTTAGTGTTGTCTGTGGATTTGGATGGGTGTCTAGATGACGGGAAGGTCCCCGAGCAGTCACTGACACAGAGGGTCAGAAAGGGGGACGCTGCGGCTCGTTATCAGGGATATCCTGTCAGGGGCTTGTTTCCAAAAGTAATGTGTTAGTTTGCAGAGCCAGCTGAAGTGGAAGTCATGTCTGATGTGTTCATTGAGCATCGTGAGCATGTATCCCAATTAAAAAAAAATAAACATTTTGTCTTGGGTAATGTGAGTTTTGTGAATCCATTTGTAGCTGCATGTTAGCATCCTCTTGCTAATTGTGAGTTTGAGAGAACTGAAAGAGAAACCCTGCAGCAATGTTACATCATCTGGTGAAAAAGGTTCCCAAAAGAGTGGTAGCCCATTGTTTTCAACAATCATATGTCATTGTTAGGCTGATGCTGTGGTTTTGCAACTGACATGCATTGTTTATTAATTACTTTTGGAAAAACTGCTGTATGATCGCGGTAATTGTGTAATCATGATCTAATCCATCAAAGATTCTTCCTCCCTCACCGCATTCAAAACATCACTCAAAACCCACCTGTTCAACACTGCATTCAACCACTGACCCCCCCCCCCCCCCCCTATTTTCTGTTTTGTTTATCTCTTTTTGTATTTTTCTTTGTTTTTTCTTTTTTATTATTTGTATTCTCTGTCAAAGCGTCTTTGAGTTTCTAGAAAAGAGCTATACAAGTATAATGTATTATTATTATTATTATTATTATTATTATTATTATTATTAATAAAATAGTCCTGCAGATAGCTATAACAATCTTGTGGAAAAGCGGAAACAAGCACCAAAATTCATCCCTTTGGGGTCATTTATTTTAAAAAGACATTAGCCACTTTAATTTCCAAAATGGCCGCCATTTCCAGCCGAGGAAACAGTATTTTACCACAGAATTTATAACCACTGGATCTATTTTGGTGATTTTGGTATTGAGTTATTTGTTTAAGACTATGGGGAATATATAATACAATTAAAAAAGTTCTTCAGAGTTTTTTTGTATCATTTTAAACACAAAATGTAAAAATGTATATCTAAAACACTGCATTATTTCAAAAAACATATATTTTAACGATTTTCAAACTCCAACAGGAACTAAATTCTGCAAAATATCAGTAAATTGGTTAAAAGTCAAATTCAGTGCTCAATCTGTGCTTTATTTAAATGCTCTGAGCAATCAAATCTAACACATCTTATCAGTAGTGTCCTTGTTTCCACATTATGACATAAAGCTCATGAATACAAAGGAGATAGGAAAACAACATTTCACCTTGGGATGGGACTGTTCAAAAAGTATTTGAATTCACCATTGACATTAGGCGTGCGTTCTCTGATTGCCATTCTAGTCTTTTCTCTACGTCCAGACACCTTTTTCTCGGTTTTCCAAACCAGTGGCCATGTAGTACTGCATATAATAGACATACTTACTTTTCCAGGAGCACACTCCGTCCCATCGAGAGGCGGACCCTTCTTGGTTTTGCAGAAGTACGGGTTGTCTGGATGACTGCACCACAGCTGTTTACATGGGTCAAATGTACGGAACTGAAACGCAGAGAAGAGAAAAATGATGTGTGAGGTCAAGTGAGCTGAACATTTACGTGTAACCGGCATGAATCTGACGCACATAGAATGGAAAAAGAACTGCAATCCTAAACTGGTTGTATATTACATTTGTGATCTGTTTTTGGTGCAGATTATGATAGGAAATTGCAACATCATGACTTATTATGTTTTTTTACAATCAGGTTGGAGGACCTCATGATCCATCTGTCAAAGAAGAAAACGTTTTGTTCTTGGCTCAAGACAAATTGTACTCTTTTGGTGCATTTTGAGCTAGGTTTTTTTTTGTTTTTGTTTTCTAGCTCCTAGCTCAAAATTATTTCTTGATACCATACTGCAGGGGTCGGCAACCCCTGGCACACTAGGAATAACTGGAATAAGTGTGCAAAACATTTAAATTGTATTTTCGGATCCTGAACGAGACCGCCGCCAGAGCGCGTCTCCCCGTTACCTGCAGAAGGAAGCCATGCACGCAACGCAGCCCCGGTCTCTTTAACTCCAGGCGACTTTCTGCCGCTTTCCTCCGTGGTGCAGGGCTGATCGTTTCACCACAGAGGAAAGCACTTCACAAATTGCAGTACCCATAAGGAGCTGTACAAATGCCGCAGTTTTTAGTTGAAAGCCCAGTGGCGATCTGCTCATCTCTCATAGAAATAATATGCTACAAAGGGGCGGACTGGCCATCTGTGTGTTCTGGAGAATCACAGAACAGACGATCGTCCTTATTATTATGCCGTTTAAACCAATTATTTAAATTTGTTTGTTAAATTCGGCATCATGTAAGTTGCGCTGACAGGTACACACACTGCTTCCCCGCAGCGAGGCTCCCGTCGCCCTCCTGTTGACAGTTCACGAGCATCGAGCTCCCCCCGTTGATAATTCACGATCGTCGGCACACTGATAATTCTTATTTTTTTTAATGGCACTTCTTATCAAAAAGGTTGCCGACCCCTGCCATACTGTATCTGCTCATAGCAACTTCTATATGGTATAGTTTCAAGTAGGAATGGTAAATATGTTATGGAGTCTGGTGGAAATGTGGCACCTCAGCTGTTTACATGGGTCAAATGTACGAAACTGAAACACAGTGAAGTGAACGAGCCTTAACTGGTACTGTTGATGTAAAACAAAGCGTGTAACACATGGCAACCCAAAGGCGGAAATGTTTTGTGTTAATATGGCGGATGATGATTTGTATACATACAGTATAAAACATAAACCAGGATGGCATAAAGTATAAAAGATATGAGGTGTTAAGTATCGCAGTCACACTCCTCTATATCGGACGGACAGCTGCCACCCAAGAGTTACAAGCTCCACTATCAGGCACTCAGCTGAGAGGAGTTGGGATGTTTTTCGTCCCTTCAAGGTCGTATTTTTTTAAAGGAAGAATAGAACGGACAGGACTCATTGAGAGAACTCGAAAATTAGCTTTTTAGCTGCCCTGAGCATCCTTCTGACAAAAGGCTTCGTGAACAACACAAGCCCTAAAATGATTTCATCGACCCGTTCCCATCAACAGGCCGAGAGGGATCCGTTGGATCGCTCAGTCTCTCTCCTCTTCTGACATCCTTCTCTCTCATGAAGCTCCTCTTATCTGCATGGGATTCAAGCCAGAGATCAGATTACTACTGGCATTTTTATGAGATTACTTTTATTCATATATTCCATAGGTTTAAGATACTCATATATATTTTTTTTTAAATGTGCGCTACGAGTGAGAATTGCTGAAAAATGGTAAAGCAATTAGAGGTTCTCCTCTCTTACGGTATTGATATGCATATTTTCCTTTATGTGTGTCATTATATTTCCCCAATTGTCACTTTCCTGTTCAACCTTCAATCGCTGCGGCAAATCTCATATTAACACTGCAAAAATGTTTCATTTGAAAGCTAATAATAAGATATTAGATAACTATCTCAGTCCAATACATTGTGTATAATGAACACCATTTGTTTGCGCTCATTGGGTGAATTGTACTTTGTTCTTAAAGGCAAGTCACGTCCATAGAAACACCCACACTAATTTCTAAGCCTCTTCACCAGTAGTGGCGTGCTGGCACTTTTTGCGTTCAATCTATCATAACCTTGTGCCTCCATTCTCCATTTTCTTTGCTTTCTGCTTTGCGGAACTGCAGATCCAGCTACCTAGTCCTCTTCTGTCGCACAAATGGGGCGGCAGCAGCTGTGTCTGTAGGGACTTGGCTTGGGAACTTAATGGTGGCTGGTTCAAGTCCCAATCGGACCAAAAAAACACGGAGTCTGGACTGGTATCTGGAGAGATGCTGCCTCAAACCCCAAACTGCTTCCTGGTGCTGGAAAGCCTGGCAACCTCTTTGCTCTGGCACCTCTCTATAAAATGCATGTGTTTGTGGATATCTGTATTTCTATGTGTGTATGTGTACCGTGAATTCAACAGAGTGAAAAACTTAAATTCCCTCACGGATTGATAAAGGTTAATTTAATATATACTATCAAATGGCGAAAAGGCTGCCCTCCTAAGCTAGTGCTTATAATACAGTGCTTATAATACATTTTAGGCAAAAGTTATTTGTTTTGATTCCAGATTTGGATACAAAATGTCGACCTCATGTCTTTTTTTCAATAAGGTAAGAGGACCTTATGATGCATGCGGCAAATAAGAAAAAAGTGTTGTGTCTCGTCAAATGTGTTAGTTATGTTTATGCATTTTGTCTGTCATTTCCTGTTTTATTTTGTACTTACCTCTTGTCTTCAATTTCAGGCCCTGTTTCTTCCTCCCCTTGTGTGTTTTTCCCGCCATCATCAGTGTCTGCCCCGCCCCTGATTGTTTCCACCTGTTCCCACTCACCTCATGGTTAAATAGTCCTGTCTTCCCCTGTCCTGTGTCAGTTCGTCTTGTTTGTTTCCCCGAATGGTCGTGCCAAGCCTCAGCTCAGAAATAATCACTTTTCTCTCATGTCAAGTTTTGTTATTTTGTTTATTTTGTAGGCTTAAGTTTTTATTAAGTCGCTTAGTTTGTTCCTCCTTGTGAGCGCTTTTTGTTATTTCCACTACCTACTCTGTTAAGAGGGATTACCTGACCTGTGACAATAAATATACTTTTTGTTACATTCAAGACTTTGTCTCTGGGCCGTGCATTTGGGTTCATCAGTTTGTGTCGAGGTCCTGACAGAAAGTTTGTTATTGGCCCGAGATAAATTGCATGTTTGATATTTTTTTGCCACATAGAACGCTCATTTTAGAAAACCCGGGATGATTGTAATAAAAATGATTTCTTGGTACCATATCTGCTCATGGAAAATGCTATATGGTATACTTTCCAGTATTAGTTTTTATAGGTTCAGATGCATTCAGATAACATATAAAGGGCCAATAGGTGTTAATTTCACGATGATTGGGGTCACAGATTTACATCCACTTCATTTGCCCGTCTCATTTACAGTAATATGACTTAATAGAAATAAATCTAACACTCGCACATTATAATCCCGTAACAATTACTACGATTCTGTCTGCAGATACCATGTCTTCTTTTCCAATCTTGTTACATTTCTCAGGTTAATGTATCTTTGTTTGCAGAGGCACACAAGACAATTAGCAGTAATTAATGTATTTTGTTCTAAACAAAGAAAAACGATTTAGATTGTGATACAAAAAGTATCGCCTTGGCTCTGATGAACAAGTGATATACAGAGGCTACTATTACTCCGATTGCAGCTCTGTCCCTCTTGTTCTGTTTACACAAAGTGCAATTGTGGGAAGCTGCCCGCTCCAACAGCTTGTGTGTGTCGTTCACTTCAGGCTAACTAGGGAGGCCAACAGCAGTTGTTCAAAAATTGCAGATGTCATATTTGGACACAGCAAAAAATACATTTGATAACAGCTTTTGTTTGTAGAAAAACACCCGAACAAATGTTGTGATGCTGTTTAATTTGTGGTAGATTGGTGATCAGATTTGGTGCTTGACATCTCTGTAAAATGTCAGAACATTCTTTAATTATAGCTTCCATACTGAAAATGTGCTCCCTTAGTATTTTATTCAGACCTGTTTTGGGTTTTGATATATTTTTCTTCGTTTTTAAATGAGTCTTTCAGCAACACTTGTTCCAGAAGTGGATGCAAACAAGATAACTACACTTCTTTGGCAAATCCTTCACATATTTACAATACGAGAAGATGGATATGGCGTTGTTGACTCAGATTATTTTAGTTGAAACATTTGAAATGTCCTGGTTGCCAGCTTTAAACAAATGCATGCATCTTTTGGTATAGACTGCTCCGTTTTTCATTTTTCTTTAAATGTATTTTGAGCCTCAACATTTTGCTAGAACCCAGTCCCCAGAATTTCCCAAAACCCAACACCCCAAAGAGTGTAGATTTAGTGCTTGAAGGCCCACACCGTAGCTAAGAGCTGTATCTCCTACTTTAAAAACGTCTTATCTCCAGCGGATGAGTCTATCACGAACAAGGTCAGAGCTGATTAGGTTAATAACTGCAGATTACCTTCTCGGATGAGTTCTGGGAAGAAGCCCTCAGCTTGCTGTCAACTTTGATTCAGTGTCTGCGACTTCTTAAAGTAAATCAATGTTTAACTTGCCAAATCTTCTATATGTACCATACTATTTTAATGTAATTGAACAGGAATGTGGGGTGGGATTTATCTATTGGGCTTGTTGGAGATCTAAGTATACTGTTATAGTAATCTCTTGCGGCACTAAAACATTTGATTAGAAGATCTCCAGCGAATGACTGACTGATTTAATGGAGTATTACAGTAAGCAGGAATCTTTATTTCAAGGTAATATTCTGCATAAACCTTTTTTCCAGCATACTCTAGATGGATGGACGTATATTACTGACTAAAATTAGTCAGAACCCCCAAGTTCTCCGCCCATTCCTCACAATACACACAACCTCCAAAAACAGACAACCTGATAAAATCTACTCCATCATAGAATCCATTACAATCCGATGCTGCGATTTTAGATGTTTTTTTAGATTCTATCTGTAGTGTACTCTCTCGTAATAAAATAAATCCTTGTACCATTAATTTGCATTTTTAACAAATATTTTGATAAAAGAAAAGCTTTAGAACTTCCTCCAAAATTAAAAAGGTTAATGATTAAATATTAATTCTCCAGTTTTTTGCAGGTTTACATACATTTGTTGTTTTTCAATCTATGTCAGATCAAGGTTCTAATTAGCTTTTTTACCCGTGACTTTGATAGAAACGTGATATTAATATCAAGCTTGTGTAGATCAAGGTGATTTGATGAATAAAAGATGCATTGACTGCAGAATAAAGTAACAGAATATAAATTACCTCACCATCTGCAGATATTAAGCAGGTGCGACTGTAAGCAGATGTCTGTTTGAAGTGCTCCCTAATCTAGCATCTGATTTTGCTTGGAGGAATCTGCTGATATTTGAAAATCAGTTTATCTGAAGACTGCAATCATCATCGGCATCAGTCTGACCTGCTTTTCTCATCTAACATTTTTATCATTTTGGAGAGTAAATTAGGCCCTCTTACAGACAAGGTTTTGGGGTCTGAGTACACACTGTTCAGTCCTCCAAATGGTAACCTGAGTGCAGTACTCACCGAGGTGCAGATCTTATAGCCCACTCCAAAGTCAAATCGACACTGCTCATCCATCGAGTAGTTGATGCCGGGAAGTTCAGGGAGTTGCGGCCAGTCGTGTTTGAATGGGTCATCTAGGAGACAGTCGTACGTGCTGTCGGGAAAGAAGAGGTGACACCGAAGTCAAGCACTGAAGAGAACATTTTTTAAGACATTAAATCATTTTTCTAGATGGATTAGTCTACTGGGGCCTTGAAATACTTTAATCACAGGACCAAATAGACATATATAAGAGTCAAACCTTTCTCACTAACTGATTACTCCAGTTTAAAATGTGCTGCTGTGAATTCAAACTGTCCCTTTGATACATTTGGCATAACATTCTACAGCATTAAATCCATCAGTGTAATATCACACTCCAAGTAGAGCTGCAGCTAGTTGTGGGTAATGTGGCAAAAATCAAATACAGTGTTATGATCTATTTCATGTAAGTAACAGTTTCTCATTTAACAGTCATTGACTTGTTAATTGTATTCTTCTATTGCAAGATTGGTGACATACAATTTGTGTTAAACTTGAAAGAGTCAAAAATTCTTTAAAAATAGACTTGTTAAGGGTTTTTAAGGCTAACAGGTACAAAACAATTCTAGCCTGACTACATACAAATCATAGTCATGTGTTTTTAAAAGACTTGAAAGTATTCTAACAAATAAAAAGACTTGGCTAGCTGCAATTAAACGCCTGCAGCTAGTCCAGAATGCAGCTGCACGTCTTCTGACTGGCCATAAAAAGCGTGACCACATCACCCCAATTCTGGCCTCACTACACTGGCTTCCAATTCGGTTCCAAATTTATTTTAAACTCCTTTTATTTGTTTTCAAAGCCCTTAATGGGCTGGCTCCGGCCTATATAGCTGACCTCCTCCATCGCTACACCCCAGCCAGAGCTTTAAGGTCTGCTGACCAGCTGCTGCTGGTAGTGCCCAAGACCAGGCTAAAAACCCGAGGGCACCGAGCCTTCACAGCAGCTGGCCCTAGGCTCTGGAACACTCTGCCCCTCCATGTGAGGTCGGCCCAGACCCTAGGGGTTTTTAAATCCTCACTAAAGATTCACTTCTTCTCCCTGGCCTTCTAGTCAGAGCGGAGCATGACACTTGACTATTCCCTGTGTTTTTGTTTTTTATATTTCTGTTGTAAATTATTGTCTTTTATTGTGATTGTAGTAATGTGTTTTTATTACATGTACAGCACTTTGGCTCGACCAAAAATCGCTTTTAAATGTGCTATATAAATAAAACTTGATTTGATTTATTTGATTTGATTTACTGCAAGTTTTGCTAATTTTACATTTTAAAAAGCTGACAAAATACTTTGCAAGTTTCTGTTAAAAAAATATATTATTTAAATAATTTAGCTGATTATCAACATGTTTGTGTAGACAGACTGAATGAAATGTAACTCTTTGTTTCCACATAATTACATTCATGGAAACAACACAGTCCATTCATACTCACAACTTTATAGCATATATCCTACATTTTAAACAAGATTATTGTTTTATATTCAACTCCAAACTTACTGCACAGATGTTTTCACATTAAAATCCTCCCAGAGACTCAAACTTCTGCAGATTTGTTTTGAAATCAAAGCCTACATGATGGCTTTGATTGTAAAACACTGGCAGGAGGTGTTTCTTTGACAGTAATGCAAAGTTGGCAGACTAAAACTCAGATCAGCTCAGTGTTTAATACGACAGGACTGCTGATATACCAATAAAGTAAGTGCTGCAGAAATGGATGTTATCTGAAATGTACAATGTGGGCCATTGTTGTAAAGGTAGTTGCATCCCCATTAAGGCTTTTTACCAATTGATTGAAAGTCAGCCATTATCGAATACTTTATTTGAAAATTCACTGTATGGTCCTTGCTCTAAGTGAAAAGCAAAGCATCCTACAATTTAGCATTTTGTTGTTCTGCGGCTTCTAATTACTGTTTGTTCGAACATACAATGCTTTAAAGCCTGTGTGCAAATATTCTAACTGAATGCTACACACAGTTTTCACAGAGCATTTATCATTTCTTCTTTCAATGACAGTTTTGCACCTGTATTTCAGTTTGAGGACACATTGTGTTGCACATGGCCAGGTGGTGAACAGTACCTCAGCTGCAGTAAATGCCATCATGGCCGCCTTTTGTTAAACTGACAAATCGTATGTTCCTTTTTATAAGTGATAAATGAGCACCTCGCACATGTTTGCACAGCTGTCTACCCAAGCTTTCTCTTTCCATCTCAGAACCAAAGCTGTATCATCCAATATTATCACACAGCATTAACACTTTTAATACCGTTTATGGATTTATTGCTGCAATGGATCCAATTAAAATAGCCGGAAGCTGCTCTAAAAAAACTGTGTGCTGATTGATTTCACAATGTCATTTTCGTCTCTCACTTCGCTGTCAATAGTTGAGCATTTCACTGTTAGGAATTGATTTTTGTGCAGCTGAGTGAAAAACTCAAGGTCCCTGTCACTGTTTGGCGATTGCATGATACTTTTGGATAATGGAAAATATTGCACATAATGGTTTCAAACAGTGTATCAAACAGTTTAAGTGCTTTTGGAAGACAGCTGCAGGTTAATGGTGTTAATGTAGGTACACTTAAGTGTGTTCCCAAGACATTATAAATATAGGTTGCTTAAGGTTATTATTAAAGAGAATTTCCCAAAAATTGCTCCACAAATTGTAGTACTTCTATTTGATAGGCATATGTTATGGTGCAGATAGTGGCACCATGTTACCAATTACAGTATGGGGCACTTTAGAATTTGGCTTCTGAGCTGTAAAATGTTGGTTCCAAACGTTTTCTTAACAAATGATCTAATCACTTTTTCTTTTTAAGAAATGTGTTTTGTTTTTTCTTATGCCAGAATGTTTCAATACTGTTGTTTTCAAAGAAATTCAGATGTGGCTTATTAAAAATCAGCTAAATATATCAGCATTTTTTCTTAACAAATGGCTGAAGCAACACAATACATTAATGATCATGATTGGACATTCACTTTGCTTATATTCATTCCAATACAAATTATGGCAACCATTTAGCATGACATATTTTCATGCTTTTTTTTAAAGCAGATGCAGATGAAAAAGATTTTCTGGCGGTCAAACATGTTTCTTTTTTAGCCCTGATAGAGGTTTGAGTTCTCGGAGTGCTTTCCAGATAATAGATACATTAGTGATCAATCTGTGGATGTAAACTGCCAACATGGACTCACTGGATGTATCTTTTCAGCTCCTGTCCGCTGCACATGGACCAGTGGTATCGATGGAAGGCTGCCTGCACCAGAGGAGCCATCACGCTTCCCATCGACGTTTCGTCTCCGCAGCGGTTGCCTTGGCCATCGTGCTCCATGCCCAGCCTATTCCCAAAGAGAGAGACGAGGAAATACTTACAAAACTGCAGATTATCAAGATTGACAAATGCCCAAGGAGTTTTAAGTAAATACGCTGATTTAACACCTTTGACATATTGGGGGACCGAAGTGGAAAACAACCTAAATTACTCAAATAATTTATCGTTATAAACAGATAACTTCTACATTTTTTAGACACTTTTTTTTTCTGCAGCAGGTGGATGTTTGAAAGCTTGTCACGATGTAGCCTGAGGGCTTTTGACATCTTGGTAGAAATGTGCTCCCTTTAGGAATGATACAAATGTGTAGAAGTGCACATTTGTATCATTCAAATATTACGTACCTAAATCCCTTCATAATAATCTGAAGGCCACATGTTACATACAAGACACAAATAATGCATGTTATCATGTCACTTCACTTAAACCAGTGGAATTTGTTTTCAGTATTGGATTAAAAACACTTAGTACATAGCATTAGTAATACGTCACCCATAAAGTATCACGTAAATATTTCCAAATTATCTCTGACTTTGTTTTACCAGGCAATAGAAAATTGGCATTCAGACATCTATCCGCAAAATAACTTTTTCTGCAAAACTACATTTTAAAATGTAAATAATGCATTGCAACACTTGACCTCGGTACTGTTTATACAATGCAGGCCAAGGGGTTCTCTTCTTCACTCTAAATCTTTTACAAACACAGACTCACCGTAAGTCCTATTGAATTAACCTTGGGGGTTTAGTTGAACCCATCGAGTATTCCTTTGGAAATTCTGTGCATATATTAGTGATGTGTCGGTCAAGAACGAGCCGATTCTTTTGAACGGCTCTTTGGTACGAACGAGGGGAACCGAGTCCTACTTGGTGAGAGCCGTTCTTTTTATCGTTCAATCGTTGGTCCGCACTCACTGCCTGCCAAAATCCACTCCCCTTAAAAAGCTTGATTTTGTTCCCCAAACGTATTCTGTGAAGTCCCGCCCCTACTCTGTTTGGTAGGTTTCAGCACGAGGAGTGAGGTGGGGTGGGTCTTAAGGGAATACGCGAGAGAGAGAAGTTAGTGATGGGAATTATGGCTCTTTGAAGGGAGCCGGATCTTATGGCTCCGTTCCTTTCAAAGAGCCGTTCAAAAGAGCCGTTCAAAAGAGCCGTTTTTTTAAAAAGGGGGCGGGGTTACTAGGTTTATCTGCGAAATAATCACCAGGATAATGATTGACTGCATTGCCAGACCTAATGTCAATAATCTGCATTGTAAACATGACACAAGGTGGCGCCATATCCATGTCATTCATGTCAGTGAATGTACTTTCAATGTACCCTCTGCATGTGTTAAGTAAATAAAGTTGCCTTGCCTTGAATGAAATTCACGCAACTCTTAATATTAGTAGTGTGTTTTTAAGTGGCGATGGAGATTATTTGTTGACCCTGCTTTAAAGGATATTTTGCCTTTACAAATGGTGCTCTTTATCACTGCCTGGGTTTTGGTTGAAGTGCATCCAAATGCTGCTGCGTTTTCGCATTTGGCTCATTTTCCATCCGAAAAACACGTCGTCTATCTGTCCAGTACCACTTGTTATGACTTCTCTCTCACGTATTCCGTTAAGACCCACCCCACCTAACTCCTCGTGCTGAAACCTACCAATCAGAGTAGGGGCGGGTCTTCACAGAATAGTTTGGGGAACAAAATCAAGCTTTTTAAAAGGCGAGTGAATTTTGGCAGGCAGTGAGTGCGGACCAACTTTGATTGAACGATAAGAAGAACGGCTCTCACCAAGTACGACTCGGTTCCCCTCGTTCGTACCAAAGAGCCGTTCAAAAGAATCGGCTCGTTCGCGACCGACACATCACTAGAAGTCATAACAAGTGGTACAGGACAGGTAGACAACGTGTTTTTCGGATGGAAAATGAGCCAAACTTGAAAGCGCAGCAGCATTTGGATGCACTTCAACCAAAACCCAGGCAGTGATAAAGCGCACCATTTGTAAAGGCAAAATATCCTTTAAAGCAGGGTCAACAAATAATCTCCATCGCCACTTAAAAACACGGTATCTAATATTAAGAGTTGCGTGAATTTCATTCAAGGCAAGGCAACTTTATTTACTTAACACAGACAGAGGGTCAATTCAAAGTAGTACATTCACTGACATGAATGACATGGATATGGCGCCACCTTGTGTCATGTTTACAATGCAGATTTTTAACATTAGGTCTGGCAATGCAGTCAATCATTATCCTGGTGATTATTTCGCAGATAAACCTAGTAACCCCGCCCCCTTTGAAAAAACGGCTCTTTTGAACGGCTCTTTTGAACGGCTCTTTGAAAGGAACGGAGCCATAAGATCCGGCTCCCTTCAAAGAGCCATAATTCCCATCACTAGCATATATACAGTGGCGGCGCCAGAGCATTTTTGTTGGGTAATCTATGGTAGGGCTAACCCATACAGTGGTGGTGCTCAAGTCAGTATTTGCAATGTAATTACATACACGCTATATCGCCCCCCTTGACAGTGAAACGCCACGCGTGAGGTTTAGATTATTTCCCTGTCTCAATCAAAATGGAACTGTATGAAATAAAACGGCACATTTGTCTTGTAGTAAATAAAAAGGGATCACTGTGAACGTGACGTATGATAGTACACGTTGAAGATCCAATGGGGATACTGAATGGCGGTTTCGATTGATCTCAATCAATAAGGCATGACGCAGATCCAACGTTGCGTTGCTCTGATTGGCTGTAGGTCTATTCAAATTGCATTCGGAGGCATTTTGATCTGACCGCGGCCGCGCTGATATTTTAACGCCAGAGAATTTACACACCTTTAGTGTATAAAACTCCCCCACTACTTAGACTATTCCTTGCACCCCTCTTATAGCATAAGCCCGAATGGTCTCAACCATATTGCATCAGTAACGTGCACTTGTTGTTACAGCAGGATCAGTTTGTGTGCTGTGGACACGACCCGTATATTTTCGCAATCCGTGTTCTCAACATTTAGCATTTCGCTTATTATTTAATTGAATTTGCATCACTTTTCATGGTGGGGCTGAGGTGGGGCTAAGCCATTTCTTGGTATGGCTGTAGCCTACCCCAGCCATACCCTGGCGCCGCCACTGCATATATATGAGAGTAAACTGAAGAGACTGGAAATGCAATGAGAAACAGTGACAAATGTCTGCAGCCACAGTTGTACCGGTTTCACGATCACAAGTTGTCGTTTGTGATTGGCAGCCAATCTCAAGAAGATGGTTGAATTAATATATTCAAAATGTTTGACGAGCTATCAAACTTAACTGCCGACATTGCAGGAGTGGCTTCCAGTAACTGCTAGAATCCACTTCAAGACACTGGTACTTGCGTACCATGCTGCGAATGGATCTGGCCCTTCCTACATCCAGGACATGGTTAAACTGTACACCCCAGCATGTGCACTCCGCTCTGCATCAGCCAAACGGCTCGATGCACCCGCACTGCGAGAGGGACCCAAGTTCCCATCAGCAAAAACACGTCGGTTTGCTATCCTTGCTCCAAAATGAGGCATTCACAGGGCATTCAAAGGCCAGATGAGATATAAGCCCTCCAGTCTGGGTCTATCTCTGGTAGTTGGACAAGCCCAGAGAGGAACAAAGTCAAAGATAATTTTTTAATGCACTCTCACTCATACTGAATGTGTCAATCAGGCCGATCTCCAATTATAAAATAGCATTTATTTTTTCATAACAGAAGTCCTGAACGTTTTATGGTTAACATCGAACTATCTACCAGCATGTTACCAGCCACATCTCCATGAGAACTGAGCAAACATCATCCGTTGACTAGGACCATGATGTCTGAGAAATGTTATAGAATTATTTTGTTTGTGGACACTCATTTGGGATTGATTGAGGAAGTTGCATTGCATTCAAGTATCATCTGCCTTGCAGTGGAAGTGAAGGCCAGGGCAGCACATGATTTGATGGGGAAGAAGCTAGAAGATCAAGAGGAGAGGACCAAGCACTGAACCCTGGGGGACACCTTGGGACAGTGTGTCAGTGTGTGAGGAAAGCTAGGAGAAAGCAGTGCCGGTCAGAAGGATGGTGGTGGTTGATGGTGTCAAAAGCTGCAGTGAGGTCAAGGAGGATGAGGATGCTGAGGTGTCCAGAGTAGAGGAAGAGGTCATTGGTAACTTTGAGGAGGGCTGATTCAGTGCTGTGTTGTGAGCGAATACTGGTTTGTAATAGGTTGTTGGAGTTGAGGAGGGTTTTCAGATGGGTGGAGACTACACATTCCAGTATTTGAGACAGAAAGTGCAAATTGGAAATGTGGCAGGATTACTCATGATGTCCGGGTTGAGTCCAAGTTTTTTGAAGATGGGGGGGACAGCAGCCAGTTTGAGTGAGTGGGGGTAATGACCTAGAGTTGAAGGAGGAGTTGATGATGTGAGTGATGATTAGCTGAGAGATTGCTGGGAGACAGTTCTCGACAAGCTGTACGAGGATAATATCCTGGTTTTCATTATTTTTATAATTTTTGAGGGCTCCATGGGGGACACAGGGGAGAACTGAGATATAGTGTCTGAGTAGTAGATAGAAGGAGAGCGTGGGCGGAGTAGGAAAGGTCAATAATGAACTTTCATCTTCAAAATGTTGTTATAAAACAGTACAAGACTGAGGTAAATAACTTAATAATAAATACATTCCTACAAATGTCTCAATGTTCTGCTTTGCTTTGATGAAAAAAGAGCTTCATATAAACTTTATAATTCAAAACTCACTGAAGAAATTATGATGCAAACCGTTTTTTTATGTATAAGTTATGATGCACAGAGTATTGATATCTGCAGCAGAAGGGTTTAAGAGAAACAACATTTTGCTGTTTTTCAAAAATAATTGGATCCAGTGGACTTGTTGTTACGTGGATTTACAAGGTCATAAATGTAACTGTTATTAGTATTAATAAACTGACATTAAACAGCCATAAAGGAAAAAGGTTCATAAAGAAGACAGATGGTAGGTAGTCCATTTAGTT